GTGTCCGTGCCACTAGTGCACGCGCCCTTCCAGGGCCTGCCCGCGAGCCACGTAGTCCCGAGTCTCCGCACAAATGCCAGTGAAATCCGGTGATGGATTGCATGCCTCCTTGCCCGCTGCCGGCTGGCTCACACGGAGGATAACAGCCCGCTACTGCTACCGTCACCGCATTCGTTCAAGCAGCGGAGGTCTGTGCGATGGGCCCGAGGTTTCTCCCCACGCAAGGCTCGGTCCAGTTCTGTCTTCTCTCTTTTATTTTGCTTTTACAAACTCCAATTCCAGACATTTAGTATTTCCTAAGGCTTTTTTCCCCCGCAAAGCCAAGCTCGCTGCAGGCACCTGCTCATCCCTCTTGGGCTCAGCATTGTGCCACATCCTTCATGGCACGCTCGGCTGGAGTGTCTCCAGGAGGATCATAATCCACACGCGCCTTCGCGGGGAAGAGACTGCAGAGAGCAGATGGCTCCTTAATGTAGCGGGGAAAAAGCAAAGCGAGGTCCAGTGCCTGGAAGCTGAAGCCAAACAGATTTGTAGTGGAAGTAAAGCCAAAATGATTAAGAGCGAGAGTACCCGACTATGGGAACAACTGCCCTGGAGCCCTGGCGGATTCGCCATCGCCGGTCGTCCTTAAAGAGGACTGGCACCTTTTTAAGTGAGATGCTCTAGGTCAAATAGCAATGATGGACCCACAGCAGAAGTGGGGGGTGCTCATCATCCCGTGGGGCGCAGATCAGGTGTGTGACCGTAACAGCCTGGTCTGTTCTGGCCTTCATGCTCCCGATCCCAGCGGCACAGGGCAGTGCCCTCGCGTGCAGGAACCGCAGCATACCGGCACCAAAGATAGGCCGGGGTGACACCCGCAGCACCACGGCCTCGGTCTGCGCAGGGTTTGCGCTGCGTGCAAGTAATAACACTTGTCTAGCGCGCTCATCCGTCAGCCCCATCCATCACCACGGAGGGCACGGGCTGTTACCCACGTTATTAGGCAGCTGGTCGCAGCTCTGCAAGCCAAAGTTTTAAAAGGAGCTTTAGGACTTGGTTTTGTAAGAGTCTCCGTGCTGTGGGAAGGAAACTTTGAGCAAGGCTCGACTCTCGTGGCAGTCGGAGGCTTGGTCCGATACAGAAAGAATGGTGAGAATTGCAGGGACCCTCCTTGAGGCTTTCCTTGGCCTTCACCTGCCCGCTCTGGGGTCTGTGCCTTGCCCCCGGGCAGTCCCTTCGAGGACTAATGCAAGGTCAGTTCTGGCACGGTGGTGCTTGCCAACCATCTAACGGCAGCCTGCAGTGCCGAGGCAGAAGGATGTCCCGAAGGGGTGGAAGGCAAACATCTGCACAGATGCACCCGTCCCGGTGGTGCAGGAGAGTCCGAAGTCGCATGGAGCTCGGCCCTAGCGTGAGTCGCTCGAGGCAGGTGTGCCCGGCCCCGGCTGGCGGTGGAAGGAGACTCTCTCTGGAGCACGTTCTCAGCAGGGCTGGAGGCCCCGGCACCGTGGCAGGGTGGACTGGAGCGGTGTGGGATCTGGGTTTGCTATGCCCGCGGTTTCAGGTTGTGAACGGGGAACGCGCTGCTGCCCCGTAACGTGGTCGGAGCAAAGCCTGAGGGGGTTGTTTTACCGATGGGGAACCAGAGCATCCTGGTGGGGGACAGCAGCTCGGCCCACGTTAACCCAGCCACGCTTTCATCGAAGGCAGGGCAGGGTGGCACACCCAGAGCCTCCTCAGAGGCACGCGGTCCTGCAGGCTCCTGTCTGCACCCCAGATGCTCTGAAGCAGGTGGTAACCTGTGAAAGGTCGTGCCTCCCTGCATGAGTTAGTCTTCAAGGTGCCACCCTGCCCTGCCTTATGCCTGTCTTCAGACTCGAGCGACCAGCTGCCTTCATGGACTGTTCCTGGTGCTGCAGGTCCTTCGGCCGATAGATAGATAGATAGATAGCCATATCTCTATCCAAATCTTTATATATACACACCCTACAGAGCTAGTGAGGTTGTCTTTCAGCCAGCGACCCCCCTGCTGTGTCCCTAGCCTGGCACTAGTGTCCCCCATGGCTTGTGATCCCAGTCCAGCAATTTCCCCACCCTGTGGCTTCCAGTATAACGTTGGCACTTGTCACCTGGCCGGAGTCCCGGAGCAGCCAGCCCCTGGCTTTGGGATGCGAGTGAAACCCACGCTCCTTTGAGCCGCGCGACCCTCCGGTTTCCGAGCAGCAGGAGGCACTTGTGCGGACGGGGTTCGTTCTCTCCGTGTAGG